AGAGAGAGAGAGAGAGAGAGAGAGAGAGAGAATGCTTTGCAAATATATAATGAAATACAGAATGAACATAAGATTCAGCAATTCAGCTTCTTATAACAACCTTATAATGTTATTCTTCTCCTCGGCTTTGACAGTATTGTTGGACGCTGCTTCTGGGGCCTTTCCTCAGTAAAAACACCGTGCTTTTTGGCATTCTGCCTGTCGGATTTGTTTTGGTTTCAAGCAGCCAGGTTCCTGTCTTATTCCTAACTAATCCTAACCTCTATTAAGTCTCCCCCTTCCTTTCTTGCTTTCCTTTCTGACTTTGCTTCCGGAATGTTTCAAGGGTGAATCAAGATTTTTGGTGTGATCTATAGATAATTTAATTGGACTTACATTAAGTTCTGAAGGCGTGTTGGCGTATCGTTATATATTCTTCTCTATATTTCTTCATTCCTTTTTTCTGTCTCCATGATATTCTAAGAGTTCTTATATAACATTTCATTTTGAACACTTAACATCTTTAACCTGCGAAACTGCTCCCGGGACCTCCGAGATTTTTTCGCCCTTGTCCGAGAAGGCTTGGTGTAGACCTCTTTTGTTATAAAATCATGGATATGGCTGAAAGACAGCAGTGAGAAGGAGTCAGGGAGTAGCAGAAGAAAGGCTACAGAAAGAATAGTCCAGAGGAGGTAGCAAAGGAGGTGAGGGGGGTTGGGACAAAAAGTGGACGCGAAAGCAGACTACAGAACATTGCTAGAGAGCAGGAAAGTAGGTAAAATTAGACAATATTTAGAGAAGAAAAATTTCCGTCGCTATCTGGATTCGAACCCAGTCCCAATTGAATGAGGGGATAACACTTTAACCTCTAGGCCATGTGAGCACTCTAGGTTTTACGTTAAATTTGAAGAAAGTGGCACCAGTTAAAAATCTACAAGTTTGAACCTTACGACTTTTTTCGGCACTATACCCCTTTTCACTGGTTTCAAAAATTAACTCCTCGTTCACTGTCAGAACACCTCACATTTTCGTGATCCTTTTATGTGATCCTTTTTTGGTCATTGTGTTTTTTGTGTGTTTTTTTTACAAATCTTAACAGATTCTCTAATCCTTTAAGTGTTGTGGAATAGAGTGCAATTTTAAAATCTTTTGTTGTTGCAAAGAGCAGGGTCATCTGCATTATTATCTTAATTAAGTCTCTGTAACGTATTGTTTGTATTGCTGGTTCGTCACATTCATGACCCAGCCTCTATCTCCTACATTATTCCGTCTGTGTCGAAAGGTGATTAATTAAACCTATACCACATAACACAAATATGTGCCATTGTAGGTAAATTATCAAAACAAACACTTGTGCATATGTGTTGCTGATTCACGCCAGAAAAGGCGAAGATTGTAGCCGAAGATATTTAAGCCAAACTCTATTATCTTTAAGTTGAGGTGGACAGATTAGCCTTAAATTAGATCTGCTTTGCTTTTGTAGTTAAGGAGGGTGAAGGTACTTTATAAAAATGTTCTCCCCACTCGGGAATTGAACTCCGCTCTCATGCATGTGAAAGCAAAACACCCAACCACTACACCTTTTAGTTTTAGTAAGAGTTTTACGGCACCTGCAACACATTAAGGTCATACAAATGCCGAAGATTAGAGGTGTTACAAGAGAGTCACAAACATAAAAAAGAAGAAGGAGAGAAAAAACCCAAATATATCATCATCATCATCATCATCATCATCATCATCAACAACAACAACAACAACAACAACAACAGCAACAACGACGACAACAACAACAACAGCAACAACAACAAAAACAACAGTTTTAGAATAGACTTTTCACATTTTGTTCACGTCAGAAATCAAATTCATGCTCTTTTCTCGGAATGTCTAAGAAACCTATAACCATAAAACTATAAACGACATGTACGTGGCAACATACACAGTATTACATACATGAAAAAAATAAAGACAAAAGGCAATGGCATAGTTTTTATATGAACGTTTATTACAACACATACATGATACAACAAATAAGAATGCTGCCTTTGATTCTTCATGTTTGAAAAAAGAAGATCAATAACGTTAAAATACATCGCATACATAAGAAAAATCTGCCAGACTATTTCTATATAAGCATACCATTTCTTATCTGTAATTACATGTACTAGAAAGACTTTTCCATGTGTGGGACTGATGCAGCAAAACAATGACTTTCTTGGTCTCCTTCCATTTAGTTTGATTTACCTAAAACATGGTTTTAAATGAACCAGTGATCACACACACACACACACGCACACACACACACACA